TTCTTTTCTAAAGTATCTGTTCAAATCTTTTGCCCATTTTAAATTGAATTTGTCCTATTGAGTCATAAGAGTTCTTTATGTATTCTAAGTATGTCTTTTGTCTAATATGTGAGATGGGAATATTTTCTCTCATTTTATGGCTTGCTTTTAATTTTTTTTATGGAGAGATGTGTAAAGCCTGGTGATCAGAAAATGTTTCCATTTTTAAAAAGAGGAGGAGTGGATTCTAGAATGTGGACTGAGAAGTTTTACATGAGTTAGAAAGGCAGCTGAGCATAACAGTTAACACAGATTCTGGAGCCAGACTGCTTCTGTCATTTACTAACTGCAGTCATGGACATGTTTCTTAACTTTTCTGTGCCTCAGTTTCCTCTTTTATAAAATACAGATGATAACAGGCCAGCCCAGTGGCATAGTGGTTAAGTTCCCGTGCTCGGCTTTGGCAGCCCAGGGTTCGCAGGTTTGGATCCAGGGCACAGACCTAAACACCACTAGTCAAGCCATGCTGTGGCAGCATGCCACATGCAAAATAGAGGAAGATTGCCACAGATGTTAGCTCAGCAACAATCTTCCTCAGGCAAAAAAAGGGAACTTGGCAACAGATGTTAGCTCAGGGACAGTCTTCCTCAAGAAAAAAAAATATATATGTGGATAATATAGTACTTAGCCCATAGGGGTCTTAAGATGATAAAATTAGTTCTTTTTTTAGCGTTTTTTTTTTTTTTTTTTTGAGGAAGATTAGCCCTGAGCTAACATCTGCAGCCAATCCTCCTCTTTTTGCTGAGGAAGAGTAGTCCCTGAGCTCACATCCATGCCCATCTTCCTCCACTATATATGTGGGACACCTGCCACAGTATGACGTACCAAGCGGTGCCATGTCCACACCCAGGATCCGAACCAGTGAAGCCCGGGCCACCGAAGCGGAACATGCAAACTTAACTGCTGTGCCACCAGGCCGGCCCCTAAAATTAATTACTATTTATGAGTGCCTAGACAGTACCTGATACGTAGTAAGGGCGATGCTGGATAAGTGTTACAGAACAGATCACTTGTGAATGTAATACTTTGAAAGGAACCTAAAAAAAAAGGAACCTTAAAAGGTAACACGGGTTTACTAAAACCACAAGTGATGTCATGTCTCATTTTCTTTTGTGAAAGATCTACTGGTAGGTCAGAGGAATGTTGTGGGACCGTATTTCTTCAATGAGGATACTCAGATTCCCTGAGGTTTTTGAGGTAATCAGCAGTGTGCTAGGAGTACTTGAAGTTTAAATGGCACATTTTATTTAAAGATTAACTAAAGATTTTTTATGTAAAGTAGATGTTTTAAGACTAGAGTGAACTTCTTGAACTCTAGTCTTAAAACATCCATGTTATATAAAAGAAGTTTTTATGTGAGTTTTTATAAGTAAACCATGAAACTTGAAATGCATTGTTTTGTGATTGGTCTCTTTAGGCTATATACCCTCTAGAGCTCCTGGCAATAAAAGTTCACCTGCCTGCCTGTAGAATGCTTTCGTCAAATAATTGAGATTAGAACCATTGCTGTAGAAAGAATGGTTACAATTTGGGAGGGCATGTCATAATATCTTTCAAATAGCAACAAAATGGAAAAATAAGACCTCTATTTAGCACAAATAGATTTGAATAATCAGACCCATAAGAAGGGAGGGTAGTGGGGAGTGGAGTGGAGAAGCATTGAGTGTTCAAAACGATGCCAAATTTAATTTTGGAATAAACTCAGATTCTATCAAATCCTGAATATCTTTCTGATTAGAACCATAGATTGCTAGTGAACAATGGATCAATCTTAGATGCAAAAAGAGGTTGGATTCTTTGAAGCATGTCATAGGTATTATCCTGCTCTTCTCCTTCTTAAAGTTTTTACCAGTGACGTGGGTGAAGACGTAGACTGAATGCATATAAAAACTATGGGAACCGTAGCAAATGTCAAGATTTAAACATCTTCATAGATAGGAATGGTGGCCTAAGCCCATAACAAGATGAAGTATAAAGTCTTGCATTTAGAAAAAGAAATCGGTTATGTTATGTACCAGATGGGAGAAGATAGCCAATATAGGAGGAGAGATGCTACCTCTAGGATTTTAGCAATTACAAAGGTCAGTGGAAATCTGTAATATGACACCTGCTAAAAAAAAAAAAAAAAAGGCTAAGCTAAATAAAATGGTAAGAACGGAAATAGTGGCCAGGTCAGAGGAAGTGATAATTTTACTGTACTTCATAATAATCAAAGTCTATGTTCTTCAAACTGCAGAATGCTACAAGCTTTGTAGTGAGTAAATAGTATTCACTATGCAGATGGAAGAAAGGTTAGCGTCAAAATTTTCTGAGGGAAGAGTTCTACAACACCTAGAATTTACTATCTTGCCTTCTTTTCTCTAATGGTTCCTGTTGCACACCATGTTCATAGAAATTTGGTACATATACAATTAGTTCAAGTGCCCAACTATGTTAATTTGTAATCTTAATTTGTAAGGAACTTCAAGGGACATGGAACATTTGCAAGTTTTTTAAACCCAGTTTCACATGGAGGAATTAAACACACAGAGGAATGGAATAGAGGAAAGGAAAGGACAGATGTGAAAGTTGTTAGGAATTTGATAGAATCTGAATTTATTCCAAAATCAAATTCACCATCTTTTTGAACACTATGCTTCTCTACTCCACTCCCTACTTCCCTCCTCCTGGGAAATAGTAGCAGCAGCAATAACAGTAATAGTAACTCTTCTCTTTCTCTTTGTTATCCTCTCTGACAAAGGTAACTTTTACCCAGGATGAAAGCCTTAGAGTTGTCTGTGCTTCTCCTCTCTTCTACCTGCTCTCTCCCCAGTTAGCACAAATTCCTCTGATTCCACCTGTACGATGTGTCTTAAATTCTTTTCCCTTCCCACTACCACTCTTCTGGTTCAGCCCAATAATCTCTTGCATGCAACACCCTCCTAACCAATATCCCCATTTTGAGTCTCTTCCCCTGTTGACTGCAGAATGAAACCCAAATGCTCTAATAAGGCCTATTATGATCTGGCCCCATTCCACCTTTACAGCGCTGTCCTTGGCTACATTGATGCATACCTTGTTTTATCTAAAGCAGATATGCCTTTTCTAATGTCCTTCCCTCTTCCAGAATACCCTTTCTTCACATTTTTTCCTCTAAATTTTACCCATCTCCTAAGGATCAATCCAAATCCATTCTCCATAAAACCTTCCCCAAACCCCTCAGCAGGAAGACATTGTACCTTCCTGTGTCTTAGGCACTTAACACATTTTTGTCCTGCATTATAGTTCTTTGCCTATCATTTTTACAAAATTGTAAATTCCTTGATATTAGGAATTGTCTTGTTCACTTATTTATAATTCCCAATGTATAGAACAGCTGTGTAAAAATAAGTTTAAGATCAGGCTCTATCAGTTAACACATGCAGCAAGTTATTTTAATTTCTTTGAATCCTGATATATTAATCTTCAAAATGTGGCAAATTCTACTTACCTTACAGAGGTAAAAGACTGAAAGAAAAATCTATTATCTTGTTTGGCATGTAGTAGTCAATAAATATTCATCTCTTTTTTTCCTATCCTGCTCCCACAGTACCCACCACAGTACCCTGAAGACAAAACTCGATTAATAGTGATAGAGTTTAATGAAGCCCAAAGGCATGGAAAACTTGAACTAACTAGTGTTATGGGACTTGAAAAATGATGGGATAGCTTTGAAAAAACATTATAAAGCTAGAATTGACATGAGTCAGGACTTGATCGGGAGAAAAATAGCTGAGATTTTGAGTTTGGGAATTTGATACTATTTAATAGAGATAAAGAAAAATAAAGTAAGAGCTTGATGGGTGAAGGAGTTAAAGGTGACTCCAAGTTTCTTAGCTCAGTGTCAGCTTAAAACATTGGCTTTTAGAAATGGGAAATCTGGTATTAAGGGTTGAACCAGGAGGGAAATCATTGTTCTGTTTTAGGATATCTTGAGCTTCTAAATGACCAGTCTTCAGTAAATTTTCCATCTCTACTAAGTTTTGCTTGTCACCAAAAGACAATATTTACCTATTCTTATTAAAAAGTTTTAATAGAAAAATCATGTCACATCATTGTGGTCAGGTTGTGATTATTAATTCCAAATCAAGGGAGGTTCTGAAGGCCTTTTTAGTTAACTTTTTACCTTGCTGACTTTAGAGTCAAATGTAATGAAATTATACCCTTTACAACTCAAAAATAATTTAGAGAGATACTATATATATTAGAGAAATATTTTAAAATATTCAAGTCCTTTCTAAAATGTTTCTGATTTACAACTCTTGAATACATAGTATTTTTAAGCAAACCTTTTTAATCATAACACTGGTACTGAAAATTAAGCTTAAGTTGAAGATATCCTGTAGAACCTTTAAATTAAATTTTTATGGAGTTTTTAATTATGAAGTAATATATGTTTCATAGCTTTCAGTGGCTTGTCTGAGCCTTGGTTACTGAGCCTTGCTCGTGGTCGTGTTTGTACCAACTATGGGGGATGCTTGCCTACCACAGGTAAAAATGGTTTGTGGTTCCTGCATGTGATTCTCAGATGACATTAGTGGTATTGCTAGAATCAGTGGCTATCTTAAAGTAGACTGCATTTCTTGAAATTCTCTACTATAAAACACAAAATGCCAAGGCTGGATTTCTTAACCCAGCCTTTTAATACTTGTACCCTAGATCATTTCCATAAAGTCCAGACTCCTACTGGTACCCCAGTAACTTCTCCTTCATAATGGCATTTTCTGGACTAAATAAAAACATATTAAATATTAGAGGCTTACTAAATGTTTTCATACTAAAATTTCATTCTAATGAGCAAAAAGCTAGTACTAAAGCGTTGCAAGCACTTAGGAAATTAAGATTTCAGATGGTATGTAAAATGATATCTAGTTGAAGATTGAAAATATACCTTAAATGTTTAACGTGATCTTCTATCTTATCTCCCTTTATTGTGTTCATAGACACCACATTGAATGAACAAAGATTGAACTTTTTACGGATACCTTTTGTGAAAGATGTATGTGGAGTATGATATAGTTTGAATCACAAAGGATCTCACATTATGAGGTAGGTTGAAAATAAAAGGCTTATAAGTCATAGGATTATTTCTACTGAAACTGATACTTTGATTTGAAAGCAAGTGAAACTGTATTCTTAAGCTCTTAATTCACACTAAATATATTCAAAATCATGAATGCTACCTTCAAATTTAAAGTTGTAAATTTGAGATCACTTTGTTCTAAAATAAACAAAATATTTATTTTTCCAGGGTAAAATACATGCTCAAAAAGTTAGCTTTACTTCAGATTTACAGGAAGCAAATGATAAGAAATTAAGATGGATTTTGTAAATTTTCAGATGATTGATCTGTGTTGATGATGTAATTCTAAACTTTGAATTATTTAATCTTTATAACAAGATTGTGCTTGGTTTCAGGTGACTGGGAGTGGAGTATTGGACAAAAACAGATTTTGTAATCTCTGCATCATGTTTTTTAGCTCCCCGGTTATTGCACATTCTCGTTATTTGGGGAAAGTTCACGCTAGAAAACTGAAGCAATTAATGGGTGAATATGATAAGATTTCTCCACCAAGTTCTCAGCGTGATAAGGGTAAGGTTCCATTCATCTCTTTATTGATGTCTGCATCATCTGTGTTCTTTTGGGACTGGCCTCTTTCATCACTTAGCATGTCTTCAAGTTTCATCCACATTGTACTATGTATCAGTACTTAATTCCTTATTATTGCTGAATAATAGTCCATTGTGTGAATATACCACATTTGATTTATCCATTCATCAGCTGATGGACATTAAGTTGTTTCTACTTTTTAGCTTTTCTAAGTAATGCTGCTGTGAACATTCATGTACAAGTTTTTTTGTGGTCATAGGTTTTCGGTTCTCTTGGGTATATACCTAGAAGTGAAACTGCTGGGTCATAGAGTAACTCTATGTTTAACATTTTGAGGAACTGCCCAACTGTTTTCCAAAGTAGCTGCACCATTTTACATTCCCACCAGCAATGAATGAAGTTTCCAATTTTTCTACCTCTTTGCTAATAGTTAATATCATCTGTCTTTTTTATTATAGCCATCCCAGTGGCTATGATATATTTTAATTCTAAAATCTTTTTATTATCAAAATTTTTCAAACATAAGAGAAGAGAAAATAGTATAATGAACCCTCATGTACCCATCATCCAGTTTCAGCAATTATCAACATCTTTATAATCCTTTAGTGACTTTTTATTGAAAGTATACAATTTGATAGGTCTTGATAGATGTATATACCCATAAAATGGTCACCATAATCAAGATATAGTAAATATATCCATACCCCAAAAATGCCCTTTATATTACTCCCTTCCACCTCATCCTGCTTTGTCCCCAAGCAACCACTGTTACTATAGATAAGTTTGCATTTTCTAGAGCATTATGTAAATAGAATCATGTATTATGTTCTCTTTTGTCAGGCTTCTTTCACTCAGCATAATTATTTTGAGATTCATGCATGTTGTTGAGTGTATCACTAGTTCATTTCTTTTTATCACTGATAGTATTCCGTTGTGTGGATATACCACTACAGTCGTGCGCTGCATAATGACATTTCTGTCAACGACAGACCCCATATACAACAGTGGTCCCATAAGATTAGTACCATACAGCCTATGTGTGTAGTAGACTGTACCATCTAGGTTTGTGTAAGTACTCTGTGACATTCACACAACAACGAAATAACCTCATGACTCATTTCTCAGAACGTGTCCCTGTCGTTAAGTGATGCATGACTTATTCATCCATTCACCTGTTGTTTAACATTTGGATTTTTTCGTTTGAGGGGCTATTACAAATAAAACTGCTATGAACATTCATGTATACGTCTTTGCATGGACATAATATTTCCTTTTCTTTGGGTAAATATCTAGGAATGGAATAACTTGATCATATGGTAGGTCTATGTTTAACTTCCTCAGAAACCGCCAAACTGTTTTCCAAGTGGTTGTAAACATCCCCACCAGTAATGTATGAGAATTCCAGTTGTTCCTCATCCTCACCAACACTGGTGTTGTCATTCTTTTAATTTCACTCATTCTATTGAATGCTTGGTGGTATCTCATTGTGATTTTTTTTTTTTTGAGGAAGATTAGCTCTGAGCTAACTACTGCCAATACTCCTCTTTTTGCTGAGGAAGACTGGCCCTAAGCTAACATCCATGCCCATCTTCCTCTACTTTATACGTGGGATGCCTACCACAGCATGACTTTTGTCAAGCAGTGCCATGTCCGCACCCGGGATCCAAACCGGCGAACCCCGGGCCACCGAGAAGTGGAACATGAGCACTTAACTGCTGCACCACTGGGCAGCCCCTCATTGTGATTTTAATTGGCATTGACATGATGACTAATGATATCTTTTTATGTGTTTATTGACCATTTGTATATATTTTCTGAAGTGTCTATTTAAATGTTTTGCCCATGTTTAATCATATATTTGTTACATTATTTTATTCTACTCAGAATTTATATACTATTTAAGTTAAATAGGAGGTAAATTTTCTGACTCACCAAATTAGGCTTCATTTAGACTTTATTTTTAATCTCAAATTTCAAGAAAAGATAGCTGATGATTGGTGACTTTAGAGTGTTATGTCAGGCTTATTTGTTTCTGTTAAAGGGAAGAAATGTTCAGTTCTATGTGGGTTATGCTACCTCCTAATTTTTGAAGGTAAAATATATCACCAAAAGTGTCTAGGGCATTATCATCTCATAGTAAGTACATTTTCTGCTATACTTATACTAATGCAAGAGATGAGGTGGGGGAAAGAAAGAGACTCGGGAATAGTGCTGGCCCCCCAAAAAGGCATCAAACAAGCAAACAAAAACTAGTATATCTAGTTTAAATTTCTTCTGAAACTTTTCTCTACATGAATCCTACCCCTCTCAGCTTTCACCTCCATTTTCTCTCTTAACCCTCCCACCAGAACTTTAATAGAGAGAGAACAAACCAGAAGGCATTCCAGAATGCTTTTTTCACCAATCAGAAGCAGCGGAATGAAATCCAAGCCCTGTACAGAAGATACGGAACTCTGTTCCCCCACCTTCCCTTGTGCCCTATACCTAAGAGTAGTTTTATCTCGTAGCTGAATTTCTAATTTCCAGCATTCCCAAACCATTTTGTAAACATCCTTTTATTACTAAGTCTTATAGTATTGTAGTCAGGTAAGTATGTATGTTTATTTTATATTGTTTGAGTAAACTGAAGATTTTAAAGGTCAAATTACTTCTCTGTGGTTCTATTACTTCTCTTAGAAATCAGTATACAAGAAACTGATTAATCAGAACTTTAGAAAATATCTGAACATTTAGATCAGGCCATCATCCACCACAGATGTGTACCACACATCCGTACATGCCTTACATTTTTAGCCCTAACAGAATCCAAATGTCAGCTCCTTTCTTCCCTCTTCATTCCACTTCTGAGAAGGATAAAGTTACTTGTGAGTGGCCTGGGAGATGTTTGACTATCTTCCTGCTCTTTTTTGGCATATAGTGTCTTGATATTTAACGTTTATGCTGAATTAGGTTTTAATTTGTTTGGGCTTCTTTGATTTCTTTTTCAAAGCTCTCTTCAAGAGCAAAGGAAATATTCAGAATAAAATAGTCTAGTAAGAAGAGTTTTCTCCCATCTTCTCTACAGAGACTCCCTTGTTGTCAACCTAATGAAGCATTCAAAGAAGACATATGACTCTTTTCAAGATGAACTTGAAGATTATATCAGAGTGCAGAAAGCCAGAGGCTTAGAGCCAAAGACTTGTTTCAGAAAGATGAGAGAGGACTATTTGGAAACCCGTGGGTACAAAGAAGAGGTTGATTCCAGACCCAGGTATAGAATGTTTGATCAAAGACTCCCGTCTGAAACTGTCCAGACCTACCCAAGATCGTGCACTATCTCACAAACAGTGGAAAACCAGTTACCTCAGTGGCTACCAGCTCCTGACAACAGGTTGAGACTAGACTCCCTGAGCTACTGTCAATTCACCAGGGACTGTTTCTCAGAAAAACCAGTACCCTTGAACCTTAGTCAGCAAGAGTATAATTATAGCTCATACAGTGTAGACTCTGGTTACAAACACCTCTGCTCAGAAAACAGTACCAGTGCCCATCAAGCCAGTCATAAACAGACACATCAGAAGAGGAAAAGGCACCCCGGGGAAGGCAGAGAAAAACCAAAGGAGGAGCGGCCCAAGCATAAGAGGAAAAAACCTTGTGAGGAAATAGATTTAGACACACACAAGAGCATCCAAAGAAACGAAAGAGAGGGGGAAACAGTCAGGGTCAGTACAGAAAAGCCTAAGAATCGAAAGGAGAAAAAAAGCCGAGATGTAGCCTCTAAGAAAGAGGAACGTAAGCATAGAAAAGAGAAAAAGGAACAAGGCAAAGAAAGAACAGAGGAGGAGATGCTTTGGGACCAGTCTATCCTTGGATTTTGAAGCTCTTGAGTTGGTTCTCCCGAGGTTAAATTGAAAAAATAGTTGAGGACCTTGGTGTTATAATGTTCATGTTCTTATCACTTTTTGCATGTGAACAGATACTTTAACTTCTAACAAAGGCCAATGAACAGAAAGTATTTAGTGTGCTTACTCTCCAACGTGAAAATTACTTTTCCTTATTTTCTAAAAGCGTCATTACATTTTTCTTATATATAATATAATTTCTCTTAATGGGAGTAGCACTGCTTTTATTCATCAAATTGCTATGATAGTGGAGGTATTTTTTTTCTCAGGAGGTCATTTATTTTAAATTGGAGGATTAAGAGGCTTTGCAGAGTCTATTTCTTGATTGGATTTGTTTTAGTTTTGGGTGGGGTATTTTCATATTCATTAGTTTTTCTCTATGAAGCAATTTAGATTGATTTTTTTTCCTTTGTTAAATCTAACTTGCAGTGTGTTTTCTAGATTGGAAAGTGGAAAATGAAATACATTATATAATAATAATGATTAATAATAATAAAGGTTACATATAGTTTTAAAGCTTCAAAGAGTCTTTATACAAAATCAGCTTATATTCTGGAAATGTTTATAATAAATTGTTCTAATTTCTGCATTTTGTTGTTCTGTGTCAGTGATCTGTTCCCATTCAATGATAACTTTCTTTTGAAAGAGCAATAACTGAGTAGTTTGTACTTAAGGGGAGATCTTTTGGGTAGGTCACACTTACCGTTGTAAAAATTCCTTATCTATTATACCTTGCTTATTCATATTTAAACCCAGTTTTTAGGATATAAATCTATGAATGACCACAATTTTTCCAAATAGTTGACATTGAAGAAAAAGGAATTTATAAAAAATAAAATTCCATTAGATTGTTCTTTCTTAGCCTATCTTTTCATTCTTATAATCCCCTTTTTTGTGATAAGCTTATCAAGTATTTGAGCATCACTGTTTTGTTATACAAAGAGTGATGACCTGGGAATCTGAATCCCAGGATTCTAATCTCAGTTATGCCATCAAGTTGTTATGTGGCTTTGGGGAAGTCACTGAACTTCATTTTCCTCATTATCAAATATGACTAGAAGGACTGGCCTCTAAAATGTTTTAGATGACAACAAGATTCTGTAATATGACAACTCTCTTTGTGGGGCTGGCCCCATGGCCGAGTGGTTAAGTTCGCGTGCTCTGCTGCTGGCGGCCCAGTGTTTCGTTGGTTTGAATCCTGGGTGCGGACATGGCACTGCTCATCAAGCCACGCTGAGGCAGCGTCCCACATGCCACAACTAGAAGGACCTACAACAAAGAATATACAACTATGTACCAGGGGGCTTTGGGAAGAAAAAGGAAAAAAAAATAAAATCTTAAAAAGAAAAAAAAAAAGAAAACTCTCTTTGCATTCCTCAATGTGTTTACATGTCTATTATAATATTTTTAAAATTATTTTGCTAAAATCTTTTTAATCATTTTTTAAATCATATATTTTTCCCCCTCCCTCAATCCTCTTGTGTGTAACCAGTCTCCCTACTCTTGCTGGGCTGCTGCCTTCCTCAGTCCTGACACCTCTCTGGTGATCACCTACCTAGCCTCCTACCTCACTGGGCCCCAGATAGCAAAGAAGAAAGGAAGGAAGGGGAGGAGGAAGGAAGCCAGAGTAGGTGGCTCATTTTATTTTAAACTAATGACCATAAACCTCCAATCCACGGAGTTTCCCCAGGAAGTTTCGCACTCTCAGAGATGTCTGTTTACATTCTCCGCTCTCTCCTCAAACCTTTCCCTTCCTGGTGCCTCTTTTTCTCTCAGCTGATGACCTCACCTCACACTCTAGTGAGCAAACAGAAGCCTTCAGACGGATTGTCCTATCACCAGATCTGTTAACTTCCCTCAGGTACTGTGTTCTCTGTCTTCCCTCCTGTTACAATAAAGATGTCCCTGCTCTTATTCAAGACAAATTCCTCCCCTCAGGCACTGGATCCTACACCCATTACCTTCTCAAGGACTCCCTCCTGCACCATGAATCTTTCCTCCTTTCCTGGATTATTCCATGAGTATGCTAACATTGCTTCTGTTTCCCCACTTCAAAAAAAACCAAAAACTCCCTTGACCCCTACATCCTCTTTCAGCTATCTCCTTTCTCTTTCACATCTAAACTGTCTACAGGAGCTGTCTACACTTTCTCCCCTCTGATTTTCTCCTCCATCTATTCTAATCTGGTTTCTGTCCCTACCACTCCTCTGAGGCTGCTCTTGTCAAGGTTTCCAGTGACCACCGTGTTGTCAAATCCAATGGATATTTTTTCTCAGCATCTTCCCTCTGGTTGGTCAGTCCCTCGTCCTTGAAACGCTCCTCTCTCAGCTTCCATTATTGTGATTTTGCTGCCTCCAAAGCTTCTCCTCATGATCTCCTTCAGCGGTTCTTCCTCCACCCACCCCCAGATGCATTATGTGTGTTGCATCAGGGACCAGCACTAGACATCCTAAATCTAATCACACATCCTAAATGAGCTCATTCGGGCCCATGGCTTTAGATTTACCTACGATGATGTTGTGGACTAAATGTGTGTTCCCCTCTCCCAATTCATATGTTGAAGTATAATACCCAATGTGATGGTACTAGGAGTTGGGACCTTGGGGAGGTAATTAGGTCATGAGAGTAGAACCCTCCTGAATGGAATTAGTGCCCTTATAAGAAGAGGACAGAAAGCTAGCTCAGCCACTCAGTCTATGGTAATTTGTTATTGCAGCCCAAACTAAGACAGCTGATGACCTCTAAATTTCTATCTCAAGACTAGATCTTCCCCCTGAGTTCTAGACTCATACCCAACTGCCTTCACTGATATTTCCACTTAGAACCCCAACAGAGCACTTGCTTCCCTAATCACTAGTCATTCTTCCCCAGTCTTCCCCATCTCTGCGAATAACACCAACTCAGTTGTCCAAGCCAAAGATCGCGGAAATCACACTTGACCCTTCTTCTCCTACATCAGACCCATCGGTAATTTCTCCTGGTTATATCACCAAATTCTCTCTCCTACCGTCCAGTTCTCTCCATCTTCATTGCCACCACCCTGTCCCAAATCATCTTTTATCCCTGTAACTAACAGAAGAAATAGGTCTGAGAAGAACCTTGAAACTGGAAGAAGTAATCATGGGTTCTGAGTTGGTGGGTGCAAAACCAGCAACAGAAGCACCAAGAGATTAAAAGGTCTTATGGTCATCTAAACCCTGAGGGTTTCAGAAATATCCAGCAAATATTTCCTTCCAGAAAGACAAAGCCTCCCCTGAAAAGAAAACTGTTAGGCTGAGAAACCAAATTGAGCAAGGACATAACATGGTGGGTAAGGGAAGAGAAGGTTCAAATAGTAGGGAGCAGAGGAAGGCCTCAGGTAAAGCAGAGCCCAGAAAGCACTGCAACAGCAGCATAGAGCATCTGAGGTGAGAAGAGCACCTTCGCAGGCAAGACCGGTAGGCCTGTAAGAAATAGAGCAGAAAAACTTTTCCGAACCAGGCTTAGCTCCGAGAGGTAGAGAAGTTGCCATGCTTTAAGCCCTTCACGATAACAAACGGAGTGCTCAAGCCCTGAAGCTGGGAGAGGGACCCTAGGCCATTCCCCTCCACAGAAATGTCTTCCCAGAAGTCCAGATTAACTCCTTTCATTTAAACTTTGGAAATGAGGAGAAGAATGTGATCTTGCCACGCATAAACTATTACAAGAGAAAAGTTAACTATAAAGTGTTTTGGCAAGAAGACATCAGGAAAATGCAGACACAAAGCAGATGAAAAATCTAACCTAACACTTCAAACAAGGCCGAGAGAGAATAAGAAAGCTTTGAGAAAAGCACATAAAGCAGAAAAAGAAGAATTCTGAAATAAAATGGCCAATTCTGCAACTGAAAAAGACAATTGTTAATTCCAGGGAAAATAAAATGTAGTGCAGTAAAGAAAAAGTAATGATATTTTTCAGTCAAAAATATTCATTGAGCATCAAATTTGAGCCAGAAATGGTTGCTAAACAATGACCCTGACAGACACAGGAAAAAATTAGTAAAAGAAAAAAATCATTACAGAAATAAAAGGAATACAAGAGAGTATAGGCAGCTTGGAAACAACAGGAAAATAAAGGGTAGAAAGGAGATAATGAAGATAATCCAACAAAAGTAAAGAAAATAAGATTTGTGAGAAAGTGGTAAAGATCTTATCTTTTGATAAGCAAAAGAGATCCAAATATACTTGGAGTCTCTAAAGAAAACAAGCAATGAAACAGAACAAATATTTAAAACCATAATTTGTGTTTATTAACAGTTATTTATTAATATAGTATATACATTTGCAAAACAGTTGCAGGTGTATGCACAAAAGGTTATTGACTTAGTTAGGCAATGCATGGAGTGTTCTGGATTCCCAGATCCTGGGCAATAGCTCCAAGGCAGTTTTGAACTTTCAAATTTGACAAGCTTGTTTTAGAATTCCACATGTACACTTAACAAGGTATGTGCGGTAGATTCCACCCCTTGGGTGTCCCCTCTCATACTGCTGCACTTGGCCATGTGACCTGCTTTGGCCAATGGGAGAAGAGCAAATGTGATGCCAGCTAGATTTGGAAAATATCTATCTGTGCTTCCCTAACTCAGGCTCCTTTTGGAACTCAGCCATCTTGCACAAGCCCTGCTGAATAATGAGAAACTCCTGACCTTGTCCCTGTTACTAAGCAATGGGCTCGCTCTGCTCGCTGAGATCTGAGCCAATTAATCACGAATTAGAGACCGAGAAAGGAAGCTTTTCTTTGCTTAGCCAGCATCATCGGAAGATGGCAGACTAATGCCTCAAAAAACCATCTTAAAGAATTGCAGAATCTTGAGGCAGTTACATAGGGAAAATGGGCAGTAAGAAGGGGGGTTAGGAATGTCATCCTTCAGGCAGTGACAGACTCCAGGGTCCCTCATTGTTCTTTTCTTCTGTCCAAGATGATGAATATCCTACAGGTGTTCCTTCCTCCCAGAGGCCTTCTTGTTCTTTGGGAAAATTTGTTAAGATTGTTAAGAACAAAGTTATCAGAGTACCTCAGCAGGGGTTTGTGCACAGGTTTAGGGCCATAAAATCAGGAAGCATGTAGTAGTTTATAACGATTACGTGCTAGAAGCGTTATAACTAGGAAAGGATCATTAGGCGTGACGAGACGGCCTCTCATGTTTACTTACATCCCCATCAGCCAGCTGACATTGAACTCCTCCCCCTCCCCCCACATACAAGGCACTTGGCCATCCAGCCCTCACTGAGCCAGCCCAGCCCACTCACAAAATTGTGAGAAATAAGTGTTTGCTGGTTTAAATAATAAGTTGTTGGGTAGTTTATGATGCAGCCAAAACTAATTTATACACTATGTGATTTTAGGTGAGTTTCTTAATCTGAGTTTCAATTTTCTCATTTGTAAAATGGAGATAAGACAATTACCCTTGGAGGGCTATTTTGAGGATTAAATGAGAGAATATATGTGAAGTACTTGGCACGGCACAAATATTCAACCTAGTAAAACCAACCAACCTCCGCAGGCTGGGATGGGGGCAGCCCTCAGGCTGGAGCACACTGCCTTAGTACTTGGTAAGCAGTCCTCATATCT